CCCAGCAGGCCTGGATTAGGAGAAGGGCTTCAGGGACTGCAGCTCCAGGCTAAGGGGGTCCTGGCCTAAAGCCTGTTTTGGCCAGCCCTTCCTGGGCCGGGGGAGAGGTGGGGGGCTGCTTCCTCCCCCTGCGTGGAGCCCTGAGCTCTGTCCCTGCATTGCCCTTGCCCGAGGGCTCCACCCCGGAACCCCATTGGCTGGGAATCGTGGCCAATGGGACCTGAGGTTGGGGGGGAGTGGTGTAGGCTGAGGAGCATGAGGGAAGCACCTGTTCCCCATCTCCACCAATCAGGAGCTGTCCCAGATAAGTGCCCTGCACCACAACCCCCCAGCCCACACTTCCAGATAGAGCCCTCATCCCCCCCCCCCAAACCCTGAGCCCCTAGGCCATGCCCCCACCACAGTGTGCAGAGTGAAGTTTGGGTGCATCAATGCGGAGGTGAATTGTTACACATCACTGCACGCTAGGGATGTGAATGGTTAACCAGTGGGGGCTGGAGCAGCCCCCCCACCACATCTCTCCTTCCCCACTCCACCCCCCATGTTCCAGTCCTGTGGGGTGCGCTGCAGGCAGGGACGCTCCAGCCCCACCTTGAATCAGTCAATGTGTTAACCAGGATTTTACATCCCTATTGCACGTAACAAAATTTGCTCCGCACATGGATGCAAGTCAGTGGGAGCGGTCGGGGTAGGGCCGGGGCGTGGGCAGGGATGGGAATAGGGAAGCTGAGCGGGGCAGGGTCTGTGGGGTGCCGCATGCTAACCCTCCGCCCCTCCCCCAGGTGGTGATCTTCGTCAAGTCGGTGCAGCGCTGCATGGCGCTGGCCCAGCTGCTGGTGGAGCAGAACTTCCCGGCCATCGCCATCCACCGGGGCATGGCGCAGGAGGAGAGGGGGGTTGCTGGGCTCTGGGCTGCCAGGGGCTTGGCCTGGCTAGCGACTTGGCTCTCCTGGATTGGCTCCTGCAGGCACCAGGCCTTGGGAAGGGGGCAGGCCCTAGTGGCCGGAGCAGGGCTGGGGGCTAAGGTGTGATTCTCCCCTAGGCTGTCCCGGTACCAGCAGTTCAAGGATTTCCAGCGCCGCATCCTGGTGGCCACCAACCTGTTTGGGCGGGGGATGGACATCGAGCGCGTCAACATCGTCTTCAACTACGACATGCCCGAGGACTCGGATACCTACCTGCACCGGGTGAGCCTGCGGCCGGGAGGGTTCTGGCCCTGACCCTCTGCCTGGGGAGAGCTGGGACGTGGGCTGACCCTGTGCCCGTCTGCCTGGGCACATCATGGGGAGCCTCGTTGTCCCCAGGCTCTGCCCATCGCTGGTGCCCAGCCCCCGAGGCCTGGCTGGTTTTCTGCTGCTGGAAGGCATGGGCTGAGGCAGAGGTGCCCTGGCCCCCCACGCCTGCAGATCAAACCCATCCCTGGGCTGCATGGCTCTGCTGCTCAGGGCTGGGTTTGACCTGCGGGGGTGTGGACATGGGGGGCTCTTTGCCCAGGCTAAAGAAGCTGGTTCACTGGTCAGTGAGGGCCCCTGCTGATCCTGCTGCTGCGCCACCCCCAGCTGCATCGCCTAGGATGGGTCACAACTGCCGCAGCCTCTTCTGGCCTCCAGCTGGGCGCTGTCCTGAGACCCCAGGCTGCTAGGTTCCCACGTGGTTGCAGGACCTCCCTGCAGGCACCCAGGAGTCCATTGCCCTGCCAGCCCCATGATGTGCCTGTCTCTCTGGGATGGTGGGCGTGGCTCCAGGAGGCTCCGCCCCTGATAGCTCCTCATTGCAGGTGGCACGTGCTGGGCGCTTTGGCACGAAGGGCCTGGCTGTCACCTTTGTGTCGGACGAGGGAGACGCCAAGATCCTCAACGAGGTGCAGGATCGTTTTGAGGTGAACGTGGCCGAGCTGCCCGAGGAGATCGACATTTCCACGTACAGTACGTACCTGCCCGGGGCAGCCCTCATCCCTTTCTCCGCCCTCCCACGGGGCAGACCTCCCCAGGCAGGTCCCACCCTCTCCGCAGGGAGCAGGGGGGGGATGGATTCAGGCACCAATCCTGTGCATCTGGGGAGTCCTGTGCCCTCGGCGGGGAGGGAGAAATAACTAGCCTTGACTGGGAGCAGATCTTGTGTGGTGCCCAGACGCAATGGTGAGGGGTATGTGGTTTAGGCTCTGCAGGAAGTGGGGCCTAGCCTGATCTCAGATGCTTGTGGAACAGCAGCAGCCACATGCACACCCTCCACAGCCCCCTTTGAGTCAGGGTGGTGGCAGTGATGGCTGCTGTGCTGTTGTTCTAGGGGCCAGTGCTAGGTGGTGAAGCCCCCTAGTGATAGTGGGGAGCCTGTCAGGTCTGTGGGTCGAGTCCTTTGGTGGTAGCAGTGGGATTAACAGTCTTTTTCTTACAGTTGAACAGAGCCGATAACTGGATTGGACTCCCCTGCCCAGAACCAGCATGGGTGTTGCTTTAACTCTTTCTAAGCCAGATCACGGGTATTCCATTTTTTATGCAGTTTTTAAACCTGTAGGTGTGTGTTTGAGTGTTTCAAATAAAACGTTTTATGACCAAGTGCCTGTGGGGGGGAGGGATAGCTTTTTTGATAGGCTGACAGACTTGAATTCATTGCGTGTAATAGTACCCGTACGGTAGTTCCTAATTAAATTTTTTTAAAATACCTCATCGCATACTGTAAACTGGTCTGGAAAGCAGCTACGGCTGTTCCCCGGCAGCTGCTTCCGGTAATGATTAAACGCTTTCCAAGGAGAACAGGTCTGTCTCTGAGACGCAGGGACTCAGGACGGTGGGGTCCGACCCCAGCTCCGAGGGGGAAGTAAGTCAGGTGCGATGGGGGCCGTGCTCCCAGGGCGGGTGAGTCCCAGTGCGATGCTGTTGCAGGCGGCGGTGGGAAGCCCCGCGAGGGGGAGGGAGGTTTATTTCACTGCCATTTCAGGCATTGGTCGGGTGCGATGGGGGCCGTGCTCCCGGGGTGGGTGAGTCCCAGTGCGATGCTGTTGCGGGCGGCGGTGGGTAGCCCCGCGAGGGGGAGGGAGGCTTATTTCACTGCCATTTCAGGCATTGGTGTGACTGCTGCTCGCCTGTGCAGTTCTGGGGTCCCCACTCCAGCTGGCTGCTGACAAATGGGGGTGGGGCTGGAAGGCCCCCGAGGAAGGCAAAGGGATCAGCAAACCCGCCCCGTGGGCCAGGGTGCGGAGCTCGCTCAGGCCTGGTGGCAGGGCCCCGGAAGGGAGACTTGCTCTGTAGCAGCTGCGCTCTGCTTGCAGCCTGCTGCCACCCGGCTGTGCCCAGAAAGATTCAAGGCCCCCCCGCTCTGCAGAGGAAACAGAGGCTTGCAGCCTGCCCCAGCACTTCTGTGGGCAGGAGAGTGGGTCCTGGGGTAGGCTTGGGGGTCCCTGGGAACTAGGGGTTTGCTGGGGTGTAGTAGCACCCCCATGTTTAACCAGGGGCTCTGCTGCTGCCCCCTCTCCCCTGAGGCCTGGCTGCTGGTCTATGCCGGGTGCTCCACTCCTGGCCTGGTGGGGGGGGTCCCACTGCACAGCCCCACAGTGTGGGGGTGGATTGGGCTGCATGGCAGGGTCCCTGCTCCTGGGCCCAGTGAACTGCAGACAGGCTTTTTGGCGGCGGGGGGGTGGGGGGCACTCTGGGCCCGCAGTAACAAACGGAGCCCCCTGGGCTAGAGCCGCTTTGATAATGGGCTTGTGAGGCCAGCGGCTGG